GGGCGCACCCGCTCCCGGCCTCCGCCTCAGCTGCTGGAGGAGGAGCCAGGTCCCCGCGGAAACCCGGCCCCCGCCTTCAGCCCCCGGGGACCCGGAGAGCCCTCTGCGCTTCCCGCCCACGCTGCCCGCCAGCCCTTAGGCCCCTCCGTCTCTCCCGCAGACGCGGCGCCCCCTCCCCGCAGTTTCCGGCAGCTCAGGCCCCCGCCCGCCGCGCGTCTCCATGGGTTCCCAGACGTGCAGCCCCCACAGGCCCGGCTCCAGACGCGCGGCCCCCACTGCCTGCGGCTCCCGCCTCGACACGCGGCCCCCGCGTCTCGCATCCCCGGCTCCCCCGGCCGCCAGGGCCCGCCTCCCATCCTCCAGCCCCCTCCAAGAGGTCCTCAGAAGGCAGCCACCTGCCCCGCCTGGAATGGGGAGTCCCCTTCCCACGTCTGCTGGAGGCCACTCCCTGTCTCCCCTCTGCGGGCCCGCGTGCCATCCTCCGCGCCCACGCCAGCTCTCTGCTCAGCAACTCCCTCCCCGCGGTCCACAGCTGGGGCAGCCCCCGTCCTGCAAGCTCGGTCCAGATCCCCCCAGAAAGGCATTTCCCTCCCTCCTCTCCCGTGGACAGCTCACCCCTCAAATGCGAGCATCCCCCTCCCTCCCTGGCCCCGCATTCCTCACCCAGACAGGGGCATCTCTCACCTGTGCCAGGAGCAGGGTGGCATCCTTCCGTGCCCCACTCCCCTTTCACACCTTTCCTCCATCCCCGCTGCCAGGGCAGCAGCCCCCTCCCCACTCTTGCATCCCCTCCACTTATCCTCCCCCTCACCTGCCTCAGCTCTCCCAGCGGAGCTGCCCCTTTCCCTCTTCACTACACCTTGAGCAAGACCTCTCTTGTCTCCAGATCCCAGTCCGCTTTTTCTGACACGCTCCCCAACACACACGTCCTCATTAATCCTCACAGTCTGCAGACAGGAACTCGCTTCCCTTCCCACGACTCCAATGCAGCCCTGTTCTCAGGCGTGGCTGATGTCAATGACCCGGGGTTCGTGTCCCCACTGGCCCTACAGACTCGGCAAGGCAGGGAAGAGCAGAGGCATCCCCAGGTGACTTACCGCAGCCTGCTGGAAAGAGGCACCGAAGTTGAGCATGGTTGGCTGCCTGGCCGCCGGCGACGAGCTGACTGGCTGCTAGGCTGTTTGGCTGCCTGGCCACAGACGTGCGCCTAGAGACACTCGACGTTGCTCCCGCCGCCGCCGCGCTCCGCGCCGTCTGCCCCCTCCCCATTCAGGTAGCAGCTCTGCCTGCCCCGCGCCGCGGGCGGGGGCGGGGGCGGAGCCTGCAGCCGGCCAATCAGCAGCAAAGGTGTGTGAGGCGCCGGCCAATGGACTCTCGGGGCCACGCGTGATCAGCGGCTGCCCGGCAGCGTGAAGCCTGTGTCTGTGGAGCGTGTACACAATCTCCGGCAGCGTGTTCCCTGGTCCCTGCCGGGGGCAACTCCCGCTGCCACCTGATTCAGGAACGACCCCTCTCCTCGCCCACCCACCCCGCCGCTTGTCCCTCCGCACAGCCTCGTGGTGCGGCGCCGCGGGCGGCGGCCAAGCCGGGAGGCGCGGCGGCGGCGCGCCCAGCACTGCTGAGGGCCTGCCCCACGTGGGGGGTGGGGAGGGATGCCAGCTCCGCCCCAGCCTTCCGGGCCGGCCCCACCTCTGCCAGCCTCGTGGTGGGCGGGACGCCGGGCGGGCGAGGGAGGTGCTGGCCGCAGCCCTTGGGGCCCGGGCCAACAGATTTGCATTTGGAAGCGCCGTCCCGCGCGTCTGCCGAAAAAGCAGAGCTGGGTGCTCGACCGGGCTGCATTTCTGTAACATTTGCTGGGTTTTGCCTCGCGGAGCCAGGGGGAGCACCCTGGCGCGGGGCGCCACTGTCGCTGGAGCGCGACACCTGCTCTTGCGCCGCCGAAGCGCGCTCGACCTCTCCTATTGAGGTGCGGCCCTCAGTGCCCGCCTCTGCCAGCCCAGCCTTCTTCCCCGGCTAGACCGATGAGGTGGTGGGGAGCCGCAGTCTAGAGTTTTTATCCTTCTGTCTTCGACGCTGGGCTGCGGAATCGAGTTTTGAGCTTTATGTAGGTAAAAGTTTACATTGCAGTCTACGAACTGTTTCATAGGTAGCTCCATCCCTCTCCAGGCTAAAACATCAGGAAAAGCCCAGCCTAGAAACCTCCTGTGGGGGAGGGGCGGGAGGGAACCAGGAGGGTGTTTTCTAGTTCTCCCGGCCGCTGGGAGTATGTGATTGGGGACGGTGCGGGGATGCACGCCAGGTCGAAGACAGACAGCCCGCCTCCCAAAGCCCCTCCCAGGCAGGTCGGGGGCTCACTGGGCTTCTGGAAGGAATCCTACCTGGTCGCGGCTGTGGCCGGCTGGGCCTCCCAAGACGGGGGGGGGGGGGGGGGGGGGGGCGTGGCTCTGCTTTGGTTCCATATTTGTTACCTTTTGGTGGCTGTTAGCAGCAGCTATTATTGGAGAAGGGGACAGTGGTAACGGAGCTTAAATTAAGCCAGAGATGCTATCGCATGGTAACGGAGCTTAAAGCAAGCCGGAGATTTTACTGCCTCCTTTGGGCAGGCTGAACACCGGACAAAAATTACTGCCCCCTCAGGGAGCTGTCTCACCTCTCTGTAACTGAAAAGATAATGCAAGTATACTTTCTATCCCAATAACCATAAGCTGAGCTTAGAAAGAGAGCTAAGGTGTTTAGAAACTTCCTAGTCTGTAAACATCTTCGGAGAATTCTAGTATATCTACAGGTCCAGTCTAGACAGCAGTGTTAGTAGTAATAATAATAGGCCGGTGGGGGAGTGGACTAAATGGCCTCTGTCACTGCCTCTCCTATCAGCTGGAGGGGTGCCCGCTCCGCAGTCCAGGCAGCTCTTCCTGCCTCCCACTGCCCCTCCTGCCCACGTCTGTCTGCAGGGGTGTCCCTCCCTGCAGGCTTCCTTCCGCCCAGGCTGTCCCATCCTGTTGATCTGAGCCTGAGGGGCTGGAGCAGCTGGCCTTCAGCACCTGCTGCAGCGGAGGAAGCTCCCATCTGTGCCCAGCCAGCAGGCCTCCCTTCCTTCCTGTCAGAGGGCTGCCCCCCTCAGGTGGCCAGAGTCCCTCCAGGCCTGAACCCAGCCCTTTCTCCAGGAATGTGGGGCCTTGCTGGCATGGCTTCCCAGCATACTGAGAAGCAGCAAGCATTCATGACTGGTGGGAGTGATTCAAAACAGGAAGGAAAAAGAAAAGGGGTAGGAGGAACTGTACGGTGGTGGCACAGTTCCTAGAGGTTTAGGGAAAGATGTTCACAAGGCACCTCAGACTCAACATAACTCAAACTAAAATTGTTTTTTTACTCTTTCCAAATAGGCTTCTCTCTCCCCTCATCTAGCCAGCCTTCACCTTCTCCCTCAAAGCACCCAATGTCCCAGGAATTTTGCCTCAGAAATGACTCTTCTTCCTTACTTTCTATGTCTAGTCCTCTAAACTGAAACCAAACTCTGCTATCAAGTGGATTCTGATGCATGGTGACCCTCTTGGGGTTTCAGAGGTGGTAAATATTTATGCAAGTAGATGGCCCAGTATTCCTTCCCCAGGAGTGGCTGGTGGGTTTGAATGGCCAGCCTTCTGGTTAGCAGTCAAATGCCTTAGGCACTATGCCACCAGAGCTCCTGGCTGAGGTAAAAAAAATTCAACTCCAGCTGAAGTTAAAAAATTTCACTCCCCCAGTCCAACCACCACTCCCCGCTCCTCAGCTGGTTTCCAGTACTCAACACTCCACACTTCAACCAGAATAACTTATTAAAAGTCATGATCCTATTATGACACTCCCTAAATTAAAATGATACATGGTTCCCTGTTACCTAGGAGATTAAAGGCCATTCCAGTCAGAACTGCACAGTTGCCTCCTTCCTCTCCCAACCCTCCCAATCTCATCTCCCACCCAGACACACCCTTGCCCACAGCTACAGCAAAAGACATACTGTTCCTCAAACATGTGCATTTTCATGTCTCCATGCCACTTCTCATTCAGTAAACTTTACTTGTTTATGTTACTCATGGCTTTGTTCATTTCTCCACTCATTCCATTCAACAATATTTATTCCTTATGTGTTCTGCCTGGCAATCACTGTTGTAGGCACTGGAGCAACAGCAGTGTATAAGACAGGTCGGGTCCCAACTCTCAAAAAGGTTAGGTCCCAACTCTCAAAAAGGTTAGATGCAGAAGACAAAGTCAAGTGGACAATATAATACATAACACACAGCTGTAACTATAAAGTAGAAAACATATCGTTTAAGAAGGTAAGAATGTTAACTGCAATGCACCAAATGCTAACAGGGTGGTATGATTGTGCCTAGATGGCTGGTTTGGTTTGGGAGATCAGAAAAGCTTGCTCTGAGGAGAAACCTTGTAAGCTGAAGGCCTAATGGAAATCATGGGAAGATTCAGGAAAAGTACAGCTGAGTAGGCGAAGAGCTAACACCCAGTCCTGCAGCGGGAAGGAACATATGAAGCACAGTGTGGCCAGAGGTATAAGGGTGCTGGGGAAAGGGATGAGGTTGCAGACTGAGGCAGGGGGAACCATATGATTAAGGAATTTACAGGCTGTGGCATGAAATTTAGATTTTCTTTAAAGTGCAACAGGACATCTCCTAATTCATTGTGTACTGCCTGCGGTCTTAAAAGTTTGCAAGCTGCCATCCAAGGCATAACAATTGGTCTCTATTGGCCTGGAACAACAGAGGAAGAAGGATTAGGAGGGGAGCTCTGGTAGCATAGGCATTTGACTGCTAACCAGAAGGCTGGAGGTTCAAACCTATTAGCCACTCCTCAGAAGGAAGATGGAGCAATCTACTTTCGTAGTGATACTGCTTCAGAAACCCAAGGAGGGGTTGCTATGAGTTGGTTCCGACTCGATGGCACATAACAACAACATGAAATGTGTGACTAATTGTGTCCATGAACAGTTGCCTCCTTTGCCATGAGAACAGAAGAAGTGGATGGTGCCCAGCTACCACTGCTGAACGTTTGATCAAAGATTCCATAGAAGAGTACTGATCAAAAGGGGAGGAGGAATGTAAAACTATTTTAAATTGTCACAGACTCCAGACATCCTGAAGCCATGAAAGTTAGACCCCTGAAACTATTGCCCTGAGATAATCCTTAAACCTGATGTCAGAAATATCCCCTGAAGCCTTCTTAAAACCAAAGTATAGTTTAGCTTAACTATTAAAAAAAAAAAAAAAAAGCCTTTTATCCTGAGGGCATGAGAACTACTGAAAGGTTTTAAACAAGGGATGATGGTTTAGAAAATTCATTCTAGGCCAGTGTGGAGAATGGACCAGAGAGTGGGGGTTTAACACTATTTAGATGGCTTTCATAGTAATCCAGTTAGTTGGGCCTAAACTAAGGAAGGTGAAGGGTATGGAAACGATGGAGTAGAGATATTAAGAGCCAGCAGGGTTTGGTGATTGATTGGATATTGAGCATGAGGAAGAGGGAGGTGTCAAGAAGAACCACCAGTTCCCTGGCTCAATTCCCTGAATGGGTAGGCCACCGGAAGGGACCGCAGGAGGTACATTTTGATAAAGAGGAAGAATATACTCAGTTTGGTATCCACCCCCCCAAAAAAAAAAAAAAAAAAAAAAACTCATTGCCATCGAGTCAGATCCCACTCATAGTGATCCCTCCTTGGGTTTCCAAGGCAGTGTCATTATGGAATTACATTGCGCAACCTTCCTTCCAAGGAGAGGCTGGTGGGTTTGAATTGCCAGCCTTCTGGTTAGCAGTCAAGTGCCTCAGCCACTATGCTACCAGAGCTCCTAATCTGGTATAGGATATATATGTAAAGATGAGGTTACCTGTAGGACATCCAAATAGAGATGTCCAGGAGACAGTTGGAATTTCAGCCTGGTGCCCAGGACAGTAAGCTCTGGGCTGAAGATTAAAATGAGAGTCACCAGGGTATAGGTGGGAGTTGAAGTCAGGGGAGTAGGGGAAATACCCTAAGAAGTGTGGAACCAACGAAGAGAGAATGGAGGGTGGGCCTCTGCGGAAACCCTGCTTCTTAACAGCGGCCCAGGAAGGAGACAGACAGAGCAGCCCCATGGCGAAATATTGGCAAAGGGTGGTACAATGAAGACTTTTATATGTGCCACGCTCTTATGATTTTCTGGCCTAGTGTGATATGAAGTAGAGATGACAGGAAAACAAGCGATGATTCAGAAAGTGAAAGTGTCAGGTAGATTAGAAAAAAAAAAAAAAAAAAAAGATCGCTCTGGCAGGTGAATACTATTAGTTATTTTAATTATACCAACTGCCATGGTTAAAGGTGGCCATAACTCTCTCTCCCACCCCACATAACCTTTTCCGATGTGACTTTGCCACTTCTGAATCAAGAGGTGGCATCTCTTTCCCCTC